TCTTCCTTCTTCCTTCTTCCTTCTTCCTTCTTCCTTCTTCCTTCTTCTTCTTCCTTCTTCCTTCTTCCTTCTTCCTTCTTCCTTCTTCCGTCTTCGTCTTCGTCTTCGTCTTCGTCTTCTTCTTCTTCTTCGTCTTCCCTTCCTCTTCCTATACCTACTAGCGATGGCCTCGAACCTGCTAGCTAGCGATGGCCTCCAACCTAGAAGCGATGGCCTCCAAGCTATTAGCGATGGCCTCCAACCTAAGAGCGATGGCCTCCTCTTCCCTTCCTCTTCCTCCTGCCTTGTGCAAATGGGTGATGCTGCCGCGAAGCTCCCCAGCCATTCGCTCTGCGCTCATCCCGTTGAACAGAGTATGGCCTTTGGGGCCCTTGCTACATCATTAGAAAATGGCAGATGGCCAACAGAACCCAAATGTGCCACTTGCATGTGTCTGAGCTGACCTTCTCTTCAGACTAGCGGCCGGAGTGGTAGTGATTAGTCAGTTTGCATGTAGGCAATCTTCTCGAATTCGGATTGTTTTTCAAGCAGACCATGCTCCGCTTGACACGTTTCACTTCAGGATTCAAGTTTCAACCAAGAGCTCTCAGTGTGGTTTGTCACTTTCAATACACAAATGACAAAGCAGGCACAGAAATGTTCAGTGTTCTTTTCCCACGTTCGAGAGACTGGATCAGGTGCACCAAAAGGTGACTCCTCGCCAAACCTTGCTGTGCCAGTCATCATCTGGGCTCATGTCCTCGGTGTCGTCTCCTGGGACACGAGCGCTGCTTGAGCTTGTTTCTCGTCTTTTCACAACACCCTTTGGAGCCTATCGCTACAAGAAATGCTACTCCAAAGTACCCAAACGTGGATTGCCTGGCTCAGCAACCAGCTCCTCACAAATCTGCTGAACCTGGGTACATACTGCGAAATAACTCACCACTGTTTGCAAAAAGTCACAATTGTCTTAGTTCAGCGCATCAGAATGAAGTGTAACGAAAACATCTTGTGGGATGCACCTTCTGGGCGGAAACCTGCATCAAATTCAGGAAGTTTTACAAAAGCCCATCCAAAGTCCGTGGTGTCAGTAGCATGCTGCAGTGCACTGCAGCAAAGCATAGCCATCTGTAAACTTCATTCTGAATGCTACTTCTTCAAGTATCCTCAACAGTATCAGAATGAAATCCTGTTTGCTCTCTTTCGTTTGAGCCCTCAGTAGCCCACATGTCAGGGCGGTGGGTTGCTCTGAACCACGCCGACACATACCTGCACTGTATCAACCCACTGGAGTCTTTGAGTTCAAACAGCTGAGCTCTTGGCTCAACGCTCGGAAGGAACCGCGTCTCTTCCTAATAGGAGACATCATCTTTATGAAACTAGTGCTAATGCTCGGTCCTTTCTTCAGGGTCTTCAGACGTTTTTGGTCCACTCAAACCTTTCAAGGTGTTCACTCAGATCATCACAGAAAGGTTCGGTGTCCCACCATGTAGAATTCGAACATCACGGACCTGCATTGGATCTGTGTCGCGAAAGTACATATGACGTACCCTGCTGAGAATACTAAAAGCTGGCTATCATCGAGACTAGCCCGAAGTGTAAACTGTTCTCTTCTTGCTTACTCGGCAATGGGCCAAAGCGCTGCCGGCGGGAACAGGACAAAGGCGAGAGCAGCGCCACCTGTGGATGAAGTCAAGGTTACTCCCAAGTTCTGTCACCGAAGCCAACATTCTGACAATGTCTGTTTCGTAGAAGAACTTCTGGTTTGAGAACTGCGTCTTCAAATACAATTCATAATCTGTAATTGGTCAGCACACCCGACACTCTGAGACGGGCTCCGATCTGGTTCCTTTTTCTGGTTGCGCCAATCTCTCTCTCGCTTGCCTGAAGTGCTTTGCAAGGCAAAAGGCATGAACAAAAAACTTGTGAGAGGAGGGGGTGAACGAAAGGTAGCAGGCAATCACAAGTAACCCTGGTAGAAGTCCATGACGGCGTGAACCGGCGCAGGGGGGATTTGATCCAGGGAGGGCCCCCCCCCCGACGAACAAAATCAACTCTTACAGGACAAAATTCAATGCACAATCCCAACTCCTGATTGTAATACATTTTTGCTAAAACAAGGAGAACTCAGGTAGTTCAAGCTACCTTTCGTGATATGCAAATAGCTGCAAAGGTTTTTTTGTGTGTGTGTGTGCGTTTTTTTTGTTTTTTCATTGTCCTATGGATGCTTTGGGTTTCTGATGGATCGCTGTGCCTGGAACAATCCGCATTGGTCCATTCAGCTCTGTGAGGTCCTGAAGGTGCGACAAGCCAACGAGTCCTTGAGTTGTTTTGAGTCTTTGAGAACTCCTGCACCACGAAGTTGATAGCGAGGAAAGGGGGTGGCATCTGCTTGTCCAGGTCCTTCTTCACCTGCACTTGTGTATTGATGCAAATTTGCAGCCCTGGCCATCATCCCAAAGCACACAAAGCAGGGTTTTTCAGCTCAGCTATCTTTTCAATACCAAACGATGCCTGATGATGATGATGATGATGAGTTTTTGAACTCCGACTTCAAGAACCCAAGCATAGTTTGAAGCGCAAGTGGAGATCGGAACAGGCCGAAGACGAATGCTCAATGTGTCAAACCCTGTTTCTAAGGACTGTTCATGTGCAGGGGGCCATCCCTCTCACCAGTGGTGGATGGCCACCGAAGAGGCCACTGGTGAGGGCTGTAAACGTACCTGCACAAACACACCGACTCCAATGGTTCCCCCTCCGCGGCTTTGTTGTTGCTGTTGTTGTTTTCATGGCGGCTTTCATGCTCTTCCCCTAAACCTCCCCCCCGGCAGAGTTGCTGCTGAGCCGCTTGTTAAACAATTGTTAAACATTCCAAGTGCGCTGACTCCTTCACCGCGCCGTTCCCTCGTGCCTTTCACAGTGGACTATGATACTGGATGAACCTGTGACTAAGTGAGTGGCGTGCGCTTTCCCAATTGGGTGCGCAGTGTGATCCCCGCAAGGGGCGCCGAAACCACCGTGTATCACAAATTGACTTTGCTTTTTGAGTTCTGGGATTCTGATATTGGATTGAATGGTTTCACCCCTGAATCAACTGAACCATACGCCGCCGGAAAAAATGCCGCCGGGCTTGCGGAGAATGAACCCCCGCCCCCACCCCCTCCCCTCTTTCCTTCTTGCGGTTTCTTCGTTTGTTAGGTGTCTTCAGGCTTGTTAGGTTGTTCTTGAGGCTCCTTTCCCTGCTCCTCGTTTTTTCTTTACTTCTAGTTCTAATTAGTACATTAGGGTAACAGAAGGAAATGGTACTCGACACACTTGTGCGTCGGCGCCTTTCCTTCGGTTGTCCCTGTTCTAGTCTACTCTAAGACTAAAGTCCCGCTCCCCAACCATTGCGCGTAATTCACGACCGCGAAGTATTCAGTAACTAGCTTTACCTTTTTAACTACACCTACCTTCCTCTCTTGCCCTCTTCGTTTTCTCTTTCTGTCTTTCTTTCCTAAGGCTTGTTAGGTGCCTATTCAGGGTTTGACTCCGTAATTTGCCGTTCGTTCGGCAGACGTGCATGGCCTTACGCCTATCTTTCTTTCTTCCCCTTTTCCTCTTGCTCCTTCTGTCTTTCTTTCTTTCCTTTCTAAGGCTTGCTTGGTGGCTATTCAGGCTTTAACTCGGTAATTTGCCGTTCGTTCGGCAGACATGCATGGCCCTATACACCTATCTTTCTTTCTTGCCCTTTTCCTTTTGCTTTTCTTCTTTCTCCGTTCTTTTTCTAAGGCTTGTTAGGTAGCTATTCAGGTTTCCGCCGGCGCGCGCACCGCCGGTGCGAGGGAGCGCCGCGAAGCGGCCACATGTGTGTGTGTGTGTGCGTCAAACCCTGTTTCTAAGGGCTGTTCATGTGCAGGGGGCCATCCCTCTCACCAGTGGTGGATGGCCACCGAAGAGGCCACTAGTGAGGGCTGTAAACGTACCTGCACAAACACACCGACTCCAATGGTTCTCCCTCCGCGGTTTTGTTTTCATGGTGGTTTTCATGCTCTTCCCCTAAACCTCCCCCCGCAGAGTTGCTGCTGAGCCGCTTGTTAAGCAATTGTTAAACATTCCAAGCGCGCTGACTCCTTCACCGTACCGTTCCCTCGTCCCTTTCACTGTGGACTGATACTGGATGAACCCGTGACTAAGTGTGTGACGCGCGCGACCCCCAACCAAAAGTGAAAGGTGAATCCATTTGGTGCCTTGAAGGTAGCAAGTTGAATACACTTCGCAACTTCCTAGAAAAGGTCCTTGGTCGGAAGAGAGTCCAATGAATTGACAATTGAGCGCGCACAAATTACTTGACTCACACCAAATCTTGGAACCTAGATAGGAGAAGCTCGGTTTTGCTGCCATTCACCAGCAGAATTGCAGGCGGCAGCTGTCAACAAGCTCTAGATGAGGAAACAAAAGGACTGATTTAGATTGAAAAGACTCAGGTGAAGAGCCAACATTCGGACAAAAAGGCGCCACACGCGGAAACTACCTCCGCCCCGTCGCTTGGACACTCGACGCCTGAATAAGAAAAGTAATCCTTGACGTCTTGACTGGGAAACCGCAAAATGTGATCTATAAACCATACAGTAAATCAAATGCTCTGAAATGCTATTCGAGGTTCCCCTGCTGTGAAAGAGGGATTCGATGGCGCAATAGATTTGACGCGCTTGAGGAAAGGTGTCATCAAATCTTCTGACCGACGATCAAATCATTCTCATATGCTAACTTGCGTGGATTCCCTTCGGGCTTCACATTCGGGGCAACTCCTGGCAACTACTGGTGGGTCCTGGGGTTTGGCTGTTGCTAGGTGCTTTTGCTATGCATAGGGCACCCTTCCTTGGAATATGTTTGTTTCAACACTAACTTATCCACAATGGTTCTATGCGCTGACCCTGTTGGGGTCGCCTCTGGCCCCTTACTGCTGTAGCCTTTCTTGATGCTGGCAACTAGTTAAGGCACCTAAAAGCAATGTAAAGGTACTGCTTAGGAACTATATAGCTATTTGCGTACGGAATTCAAGGAAGGCTGTGGAAGGCTTGCTGGAGGGTACCAAAGCTAGGAATGCCTGAAAACTGGGAAGTGGGAGCTGGGAGGTAGGGAGAGGGTGACAGGGAGGTCCAGGGAGGTGGAGAGTGGAGAGTGGTGGCAAGTCTTGAGAATGGTGTGTGGAAGAGAGAGGCACCGCACTGAAACTTGGGAAGGTTGCAAACCAGTCAAAACCGGAGAGCCTGTCGAAACCAGATGACTCCAAGCACCCCAAGGCACTGAAGCGTTGCAAAGCAAGTCATTTGCTCTTTTTGTTGCTTTCTGTTGTTTTCTGCAGTAATCAATATGTTTTTGATTGTTTTGCCATGCTTTCAACTAATTTTGAAGGAATTGATTTGTTTTGCATTTTCTGCTCAATTTCTAATCTTAAAACTTGTTCCAGGCCAAAACCCCGTAGAGCTACCCAAACGCATTCTTTTCAACTCCGCGCAACTCCGTGCAACTCTGTGCCCCTAGATTTTGTGTCTCCCAATGCTCCCATTGCCAGCGCAATGAACACCATGGAAACAGATATGAAACAAATATCGGCGCCTTACCCGTAGAAGAATGGAACCCAATTCCAATGCTTTTGGCTGGGCTGAAAGCCACCAAAACCACTACGGAAGAGTTTGTGGAACTGTCTACTAGAAGAAACCAGAACAAACAAAACCGCGTCGTAGTCCACCCCTATTTAAAACCAAAAACACTATTGGAGAGTGGAATGGCGAGAAAACAGCTGCACGTCAACATTCTGCTAATGTCGCAGTTTCGATCGAAATTTGTAAAAGACAGCTAGGCCTTTGACAAAAAAACAGAAACACATTATATAAACATTGTCAAAAAAGAACTATGTTTTAAAGAAAACTACAAAAATATCAAAAAACATGTTTCTTTGGGGGAAAACCTTGAAATCCAATGAGATAAGGGATTTTGTGCTGCGAAGGGGTTTGGACAACCGGAAGCGCAACACAAGAGAGCAGAAATCCCCTAAGGTTCGGGAAGGTAGAGCTTTGCGGCGAAGTGAGCTGCTCCGCCAAAAGACCTCTAGAGAAACAATACCTTCACACCTCACAGCACGGTCTAGCTATATAGTTCCTGTTAGTGAGGAGAACACAGTTGCATACGGAACTGAATGCCGCTCGCCACACAGCAACCTAGGTAACCATATGCCTGAGAAAGTCATGTAAGGGGTCTGAGCATCCTGGAGGTCCAATCATCCTAGAGGTCCAATCAAAAGAAGGAGAGGCCCAAAGTTCCAAGGTCAAAGTCGACGATCAACACACGCGTCGGCCAAATCGCAGGGCAATCACACTCACACAGCAACAAAGGCATCGACCCAGGCGCAGTCTAAGAACAGCTTGAAAAGAAGAACAAACTTGAAAAATTATGACGGCTTTTGAGGGAGCGCGCCCGCTCTAGCATTCGCACATCCAACAGCAAGGCAGCGTGACCTAAACCAGATTCGAAAGTGTTTTGCGCAAGTTGGCATTCTCATATGATGTGAGAATGAACTGTCCAATCATCCCATTGGGTACTGCTAAACTGCGAGAGGAAGTCTTGAGGTAACCCTTTGCAGGCTCCTTTGTTACTTTGTGCCAAATTTCAATTCAAGAAACTTGCGACAGGTTCTGCAGCCGCATCTGCATTGTGACTGCTGCCGGGATTCAAGCACTCCACGGGAGGCTGGAAGATTTCCAGCGCAGATGGAGCTCTGGTACTGCGGCTCTAAGATGAAGTATTTCTGATCAAAACGCTTGCTGCTGCGTCTGATCAAACAACGAGGCCATTTTCACCATATGGCGCAAAAGGGGGTATGGCTCAGTGGGCCCAGCTTGGGCATGAAACGCACACAGAGACAGGCGCTTAGCGGTCAAGTCTCACACTGGTCTTTGTTCGACCAGCTGGGCCCAGGGACTGCTACACCACTTTCGGAGGTTGCCCAGGGCGGCGTTCAGCTTGGTGAGTCCATCGGCGTGCTGTGCTGCAGCGTCGTGGGCAGCCATCGTATGTCCTTGGGCATATAGTGTTCCTGCACAGATCGTATCTGTACCATGGACCTCTTGTCGGTCGTGGCCAGGTTCTCGGCCACCAGGCAGTCGTAGGCTCTTGGCGTCGGTGCACGTTGCCCTCAAAAGCCGGCCGCTAGCAGAAGACATCGGTGACAGGCCTCGGCGGCCAAGGTTGGCCGGCAGATCCTTGGACTTCTGCCGGATTTCCAGTCTAGTAGCGCGGGGCGGCCGTCGCGACCTGGGTCACCTGACGAGGGCAGATGGTGACTATACTGTGACTTGTAGGAATCGCAGTTGGCCCAACTCGAGTCAGCGAAGGTCACGATGGTGGACGCCTTGTTCAAAGGCACTGCAGGGAACGTTATCCCTGCGCTTGCCGTGGCCTTGACATAGTCGAGCACTTCATAGTCTCTCGGGCGTGATTTAGAAGAGACTCTCCAGCTTGCTGAGGTCGAGCTTGGAGTAGGTGGCCATGAAGTCGTCCACATGGCATATGAGGAGGCAGTCCAGCACGTTATCCTCGTTGAGGTGGTAGTAGAAGCAGCAGTCGAAGGAGCGCTGCTTGAAGTCGGCGGCCTTGACGGTCTTGTCGACATGGCTATACCACACCCGGGGAGCATTGCTGAGTCCATAGCAGTTGCCTGTAACTTCGTACAGTTCTGCTGGAAACGCTCCTGCTTCCAGGAGGATGGGATCTCGAGGGCTTTCCATGAAGATGGGGAGTCCGCCACGCTCCGTTCTGTCTTGTCTGCGCTGGAGGAATGCGTTCTTGGCGTGGTTCAGCCATAAGTGCCAATTGGTCCCGGTTGAACTCGAGGTTCGCTCGAGATGCCAGGCGCAAACGCAAACGCCGCAGGCTCCGCGGCACCAACTGATCAAAACACTTGCTGCTGCGTCTGATCGAACAAAGCGGCCATTTTCACCATGGCGAAAGGGAGTATGGCTCAGTGGGCCCAGCTTGGGCATGAAACGCACACAGAGACAGGCGCTTAGCGGTCAAGTCTCACAGTATTATCTCCAACGTTGAATTCTAATTCTATAGTAGCTTCTTGTTTCTAATAGCTTCTTGTTGCTAGTAGTATGGCCAGGAGCCCCTCGTAGCGTCCTTGCTCCTAGTAGCGATGCTCTTTGCTCCTATAGTAGCGTCGTTGCTCCTAGTTGAATGAGGATGGTGGCTCAGGCGGTTTTCGATGAACTTGGTAGCGCCACCTCCGCTCGGCGTCACTCACTGAAGAGGCCCTGCGGACCCGAAGACGCAGGATACTGATTGCGAGTGGGGGCTCTTTGAGGAAAGGCTGCGACAATTGCATGGCACTTGTGGCTGAAATCGCCCTTTTTCTAAGCGACAAGTCTTTGGGGCCTTCCTAAAGGCCAAGTTGTTACTATCTTTAGAGGATCTGTTGGGTGGTAACGGCTCGCTGGGACTGGACTAGACAAAGCGCCGTCGGACACCCTCCAACACGGCAATCACATTGACAAACCCAACACATCGCATCAAAAAAAGACTCAAAAAAGGACCACAGGGTGCCAGGAGCACAAGAAAGCAGGCAAAACAAGTGCTGTGTTTCTTTTCCAGTTCGAGTGCCTTGCAGACCTTGCAAGCTCAATGGGCGTATGGCACTTTCTTCACGATTTAGTAAGATCAAGCTTGTGCTTCTTGCTTGCACTGTTTCTCTGATCCGCGTCGCATGTCCGACCTCATGTTGGGTCTCAGGGGCTTCCTCGTTAGATTTCAAGCTTTTAAGAATACATTTACAGTATAAGAACTTTCAGCTATAAAGGACCTGCATTGGAGAATGCTCAAGTGACTCAGGCGATCTCAAGTGAACCTCTCGAGTGGCTTGTACAAAGGTGTTTGTGGTTGATTAATTACCTTAGTACATCCACTCCATGCCCACCAGACCCACCATTATATATATATATATATTATTACCTTTCATCCATCACAAAACGCTCGTAGCCAGGCCTGCATGTCAGCATGCAAATGCTGATACTCTTCAACTCCTGGGAGGACGAAGTCGCCGCCTCCAGAATAGCAGCTGAAGCTTGACCTCACAGCCATCTGTTTGTACCACACAGTTTTGTTTGTAAGCACAGCCAGGTTACAACCGGTCGCTTTCGTCGAAGAAGATCTGGGACAACAAAGGCTGCAATCTCAGCATTCAGTCTCAGACAGGCAGACACATTACTCCACAGGCTCTGTGTTTAAGCCTTGAGGCACTGAGCTTGGAGCAGCCGTCCTCCTTCATTGAGCAAGTGCTTGGCAATTGCTTCGCGATGGAGAATCCTGAGGACTCAGGCGACACAGAACTTGAGTACCCAATTGCACCACAAGAACTTCACACACGGTCACAGCACTGAGTCAAGGACGAGCCGGTGCTGGAAGCGACACCAAAGGAGTAGCGGCCCTTGCCTCTGTTGCCTGCTCCTTGTGGAGCAACGATCTCCTCACGGAAAGAATCCAAAGAAATCCGTCTGGATTCAACATAATTCAAGGACTCTTAAAGAGATCATTGCAAGGTTTGCACACTTTGCAAGCTGCAATGCAAAGAGATGTTCAGGGTCCTTGGCCATCTGCCTGCAATCTTCCAGAACTTCAGAACATTGGACGTGATCTAGCACGTCCTGACTTCAGCGAATTGGATTTCACTTTGGATAGACTAGAATGGTTGAACTACACCCTATGATCCACCCCCCCCGCTTTCACAATAGCTGTTTAGACTCCCGTCATTCGGTCTATCATCCTCGATGATCACGAAGCCGGATTTTCTGAAGATCTGGAAGCCTTGCTCCTGCCCAACAAGTCAACAATGATTGCACGTGACTTCCAGCATATTTGCATCTTCTGGCCTCCCAACCATCCATGCTGGTTGACACTGTAAATTTGGCAACCTGCACGTGTCCCAACAATTACAGCATAGTGAAATGATTTTTACAAACCTGAAGGCTGAAGGCAAAGTTTGCGAAAAGAAACAGATGCCTCCAATGTCGAAGCTGAAGGCATCGAAGCTGAAGGCAGCGGCCTCACAAGGCCCACGGGCTTGCAACAAAAAACGGCACAGGAGTGGTTTTTCAAACAGCGCCACACTTGAGCACCCCGCCTCTTTGGTGAAGCCATGTTGGCCTCAAAAAGAGACTTGAGTCTGTAATGGCTATCAGAAAAAATAAAAAACATTCAAAAACGTGGGCCTGACGCGTGTTTCTCTAACTGGCCTCACCGTGTGGAACTTTGTCCGCGAAGAAGCCCTACCAGCAATAATTTTGAAGCCGAAAAAACATGAAGACTCAAATCGTAGATTCTTGGAACACGGCGAGCGAGGGGAAAAGGATGAACATATATAGACTCACCCTGAAGTTTGGTGCCTAAGTTTTTCTGCAAGCCCCAGGTACTTTTTTGATGGCTGATTCCGGCAGCTGCCAGATACTTTGCTGGCTGGCTGATTCGGCCGGATGCTTCGATAGGTAGCTGGTTGGCCGATTCCGCCAACAGGGTCAATCTTGAAAACAAACACTTAAGTGCCTATAGCTGAGCACTGCCGCACACTTTTGCCATCGCTGGCACCTGCAGTTGGTTTGCCAGACCTGTCAGGTCACTATGGCATTTGCCACTTCCCCCAAAGAGCCCAGCGGTGCTCCGCCTCACCTGAGTCTCAGGTGTAGTGAACGTGCTGGTCAACACGCGCCATTTGCCCGACAACCCTGCAAGGACGTCCCCACAGTCGCGCAAGTAACGCTGCACAGCTGAGGACGTCCATCGCCCAATCTGAGAGCTCGAGCTGCCTTTTGAAACACATGTTGAATCTCCAAGCGTTTGACCTGAAGCCCACCGGTAGAGCGGTAGACGCCGTTCAGGACCACGTCCAAGCCGCCGAGGGGCCACTTCCTTCAATCGCCCCAAGGCCGTCGCATGGTCTTGTCGCGTCCCAAAAGCTTCTCGTCTTCCAGAACTGGATGGTGGCTTCCTCCGCATCTGGGTCAACAGCCTCAGGTTGTCCTCTGACCGCCAACGCAACATCTTGTCCTCGCAGTACCATGGCTTCGTCGACCCCACTGGAATTTCCGAGCTCCCGAACAAAATCATCATGAAGAACCAGCCGGCGGGTAGGGCTGCATGGATCATGCGGCAGTCTACCTTCAGAACTCCCCGAACGCGTCTGCTCCCTTCTCGAGGTGGTTGCCAATCCACTTCAACATAGGAACAGCTACTCCAAGGCGTCGAGGCTTCTTAGCTTCTTCGTTGACGACGATCCACAAGCGGCGAAGATATAGCGTCGCCCTGGCCCGCTCGTTTGCGCGCGTCTTTGACGGCGAAGGCCGCTTGCTTCGTGGTCGCGGCCGATTTTCCCAACCATCCCAGGTACCCGAGGTAGCCGAGGACCTTGTTCTCGTTGGCGATGGGGTCGGCATCGAGGTACGACGTCATCCATCGCCGTGGACGTCCCTGGCCCAGTCACACCACTTCTACGCTAGGTTCCCTCTATCTGGGGGCTTGCTGTGCATCCAGGGTTTTGAGCTAATTGGCTCTAAAGACATTGCGACGCTACATCAGTCTGATGGGATTGGCTCTGAAAACAACCAACGTGCTCTCTGCGTGGGAAGAAGCTATACCTTTCACCTAATAACAGCTACTGCGCCCGTGTAGTATATATCATGGAGCCACACACACACTCTCTCGTTTCGCGGCGGCTCCGAGTTTGGGTATCACCGGACTGTCACCGGACATCATTTTTCTCCATAGGCACTTCACTGGACGCTTCACTGGCGAAGTCAACCATTCTTCGACCTCCGCTTGGATCTGAGAGTCGGCGTTGAAGTGTGGGCTGAGGTTCGCAAACTTCTCACTCTCCCGCTTGCTGCCTTCAGAAGCCGCATCTCCTCAAGGGCCTCAAGCCATAGTGTCTCCTCAGAACCACACCTTCGCTGAGTTTTCTTTGCGTCCCCCAGCTTTTCTCCAGGTGAGTTCTCCTCTGCGCCAGCACCTCCAACACAGGTGCGTTCTGTGGTTCGCGGGCTCCAGCCAATTCGGCCAAGACTCCAAGCAGTTGCAAGCCTATTTGGCGCTTCCTTGGGGCCCATGTCCTCAATGACCTCCTGCCATTCGGTTTGCGCAATCCACGGCCATCTCACAGGTCCGCGCGGTACACATTGAAGCGCTCTCCATCTGCAGCCAGCCAAGCATGTCCTGCCAAGGGAAGCATTGGCTCATGTCCGGGATTGATGGCATTCTCCTGCTTCTCACAGACAACCCAGTTGTTGGCTGTTCAGAGCAGGGATGACTAATGGACCATCCGGTAGCTACTCCTCGGAACCGCTGCAGTTCCTTCAGTGTGAGGTTTTTGCTTCCATAGTTGAACCCGGGCTCGGCAAGCAAGTATACAGACTCCCTGTAGATGGTCTCGTTCGTTGTCCGTGTTCATGATCAGGCCCCACACAGTTTGCTGCGCGGGCCATACTGACCGTGTTGACGGCCTTCTCGCCAAGGAGCTTGGCCGCCCACCATATCGCCCACACGGATTTTGCCACAGAAGTTGGTAGACCTGCTGGGCGGTGGTTGCGGTGTACTTCTTCCGTAGCCCCGCCCAGAAGCAAAGCTTCCGCCGCAGCTAGGACTTGGCCTCCTTGAGATTCCTCCAGCGTCACCTTATGGGCCCAGTGGCCACTGGACTCGTTCTCAGACTCGGAGGTATAGTCCCTCAACCTCTTGGCTGCAATTTGGTGCCCTGAAGAAAAGCATGCCCGGACCTGCAGAAGTACTCAAGAGGTGGAACTTCTCCGCGCTGAGTTGACGTGCCAGGGCATAACAGCGGAAGCGCTGACCGTCCTCAGGGCAGGCGTCACACACGCCTTCTGCTCCTGACGCTTAGTCCACGTACTCCGGGTCGTACACGACACTGGTCTTGATGGCTGAACTCTCGGTCACCTTGATGATGACCGTGTAGCCATCCCTCCGAAGCAAAACCCAGCAGTCCTCGTTGGCTGGCTTCTTCAACTTTCGAAGATCGTCCATCTCAGGCACCTAGTTCGCCCGCCCCACCTGCTAGCTTCTGAGCATAGAAGGCGGACCGGACCGGCCACAGCAGCGGACGCGTGCGCGCACCACCCACACCACTGTTAAGACACCAATCAGCAGGGAGCAAGGTGGCGATGCGAGCGAGGGCACTAGAGTGAGTGAGCCACCAAGCACAAAGTCATCACTGCCACGATCTGGATCAACAGCGAACACCCTGCGCGGACGCTGGTCCAGCTCTGGTCAAGATCAGCCAACCAAACCCGCTCAGCTCTTCCTCCGTTGGCGTAGCCGCCTGCCACCACCCACGGCCCGAGTCGCCGCACAGGAGGATGACCATCCACGTCACCCTCCAAGCCATGGCTACGGCCAAAACCCCAAAACTTCAAAAGGGGAGGCCGGGCCAGAACCTTCATCAGTCGCCCAGCCATTGCCCCAAAGCCGAGGTTTTGCCAAGCCTCCAAAAGGCAAAGGATAGACAAAGAAAGGGAAAGAAACGCGAAGCAAGAGCAAAAACAACATGCAGAAGTGCTGCAGAAAATTCAAAAATACAATGAGAACCTGGAAGAAAGGTGAAAATTGCAACGACAAAAGCACCGAGGTGCACAAGCCAAAGCAGTGGCAACAAAGAAGAAGTAACAGGTGCAAAAAAGCTGGCAACAACACTAGCAGCAATAACAAGCAGAACAGGGATATCAACACAAGGCAGAAGGACAAAAATAGATTCCCGGCACACAAAGGCAAAAAAGCGCAGAAAACCTAAGCAAGCGCAGAGGGGGTAAGGCGAAAAGTGACTGCAAGACAAGTGCGTTTCCAAAATCATCCGGACAAAAACAACATAAGCAAGCCCAAGAAGAATCCCCCACAGCTGGGCGTCGGAACCCACTAGGAATGGCAGGTTAACTGCAAAGTGCTCCGGGACCTGCCCCTGAACTTCCACTCCTCTCGGACCATCTGCTGGGGACTTGCTCCAGAACCTGGGAACTTGCTCCGGAACTTGCCCCGGAACTTGCTCGGGAACCTGCTCCGGAACCTGCTCAGATCTGCCCCGAAGTCGTTACTATGGCTGAAGACCCCTAAGCTTCGTTGTTGGGGACAAAGCTTCCGTCGATTCGAGACTACAATCCACTGTGATTGCACTGAAACATTGACGGACTTAATCAACTCAAACCAGCAGGGCCTTAAAGAATTCTTTTCGCATAAAGGCAGCCTAGAGCAGGCAGGTCCCCAGCACAGGAAAAAAGTAAGAAGCCCACTTCGCAGCCTTCATGTAGTCGTGATGCGTCTTGTTTCTCTTGGAGAATGTGTCCTGAACAATGATGAACAAAGTAGCAAAACATGTGGCACTTCCACACTTTCTGCACACTAAAAAATGTCTGCCTTCTACCAATTCTACCAGCTTTTGATGTGTTTGTGCAATGTTGCTTTTGTCTTTTGAAAACAATGATGCCCAGCGGCCCAGCCCTCTACAGTATTTGATTTGGTGATCCACAGTCTGCAGCTATGCTCGGCTATGCTCCTGCTCATGTGCATCGAGAAGTCGCAGTTTCACCTTGCGCGTTTCAAAGGGCATGGGCTGCACCCCCCCTCTGTCTCCCTTATCTTGGCTTTGGAGAGGTCCTCCTCGCCTTGGGGCAGCCAAGCTGAAGCTGCTTCTTCGTCAGGGCATCTACAATTTTCTTTGCATCCTGGGTCACATGGCCCGACAACCTCTATGCTTGTGTCGGGTTACTACATATTGGGTAAACGGGGGGGGTTAGCCCCGGACGCAACGCACGAGGGTCAAAAAACCTTGTTTTTTACAGGGTAAAGTGGCTTTCCGGACACTCAACTTATCGTCTTGCAACTCATGAGTTGCAAGACGATAAGTTGAATACATTTTGACGGACGTATTCACCGACCCGCCTGCTCCTTGTCCATGGCGCGAAAGTGATTTTCCACCTGCTAGGCATTAGTCTTGGTCCCAGTGGAGCCATTTCAGCTCAGTATACATGGCAGCTGGCGGACAAGTGTCTTGCACAGCTTCTCTATGTATCCTGACAGCCTCGAGCGTTGCGTCCAACCCAGGATGTTGGCTGAACCACAACGCTGCGAGGCCTTCAACGTGCTGCCGTTGCAGCTTCGCGTCGCAACGGCCAAGCAAACCCATTCTACGCAGTGATTTTTTCATCACTGCTGCCAAGCTTTCTGTAACTTGGTCTCCACCAACGACCGTAACTTTGCTCTGTTTCTCGAGCAGCATGGGTCTGGCAGAAGAAGAGGAACGGATGGAGCTACCTTGCTTCAACGCTTGCAGGGCCTTCTTTGGAAGGTGTCGGTTGCTCTGAGTCACAGTCGGCGTGTACTCGCTCTGGGAGTGACGCGCCGTTGCAGCTGTCAAGTTCATCTCCTTCATAGCACCTTGAAGGCCCTTCGAAGCGTCACTGCCCACGATGTGTTTGGTGCTGCAGAGCTTCGTCTTCAAGAGTGGCAACACTTCATCCTTGCTCTCAGGCGGTCCCGGTCAAACCGTAACGGAGAACGACAGTTTAACAATGCAACCTCCTGAACAAAAGAGATAGTCGGATCTGAGGCACGGGTACAAACGTCTATGTGAGCGTCCAAAAGAAAGGGGTCGGCCGCAAAAAAAAACCTTCAAATGCTCATTGGGGGAAGGGCACCTCAAACCGACCAAACGCAACAACAGAACCAACGACAAACACAAACAAACCTCCAAAGTAGAACCCGTCATGTCCTGTAAGCCGAGACAAGCGGGTCGTCCAGCGAACGAATCGTGACCGAGCGAACCTACAAGGAACCGGGTGGACCAATGAAGTACGTAGACGATGTACGCGAGTCGTAACCAGGATGAAACTGACCCCACCCCCCCCACCCCCCCCAAACACGAAAAAAACAGACCACATGTTACGGGCGGGGCTAACCCCCCCCGTTGACCCTACATATTGCTACGTGTGTCCAATTATATACATTATATTACGTAAGACTGAACGACATTGGCAGTCCAGCCAGGGGCATTGCTTGTCCGTCTTCCCGTGGACAACCTGCAGCGTGATCAGATCCAAGGTGGCCCTCAGAAATAAGTGCACCAGCCTCAATGTGTTCAGCACCTGCATGCCCCTCTACACGCTGGAGAAACTTCTCAAACTTCTCGACAACTCCGGCCGACCTGCATGCAGGACACTTTATAGAAATCATCAGCCTCACCCTCGACAGCGCCCTTTTTGTGGAATCACCACTTGCATAATAAAAGCTGCATCAACAAGCAGCGTGGCCAACATGGACCGGATGGGTGCAAGCAAGCGGGACACAGCGACGACAGTGCCTTTTTTGCGGGATGTGCTTCACATTTGGCTGCCCATGACCTCATTGGTGATCGACATGAACAAGATCTGTGGAGGTCAATCAGGTCTTTCTGTCCTGTGACCCATCGCAATGATCGAGGTTTGAGCCATGGAGTCCCCCCACAGCAAGGCGTGAAATCGGCACCAAACCGCTTGCGAACATCTCCAGTACAGCGTACCTGACGCTTGAGTAGCGCACAAGTTTGACGCAGGCTTCCATACGCATACAGTTGGTCGGTCCAATGGGGCTTGACATGGGCTTTGACATTCTCTGCGCACGCCCCAGCAGAGAAACCAAAAAGGCCCAGTCTCCTTGTCTCAATATGCACTCATGCGCCATCAGCTTTACACAAACGCGTCAAGAACACACAGCTGTATCCAAACCAAGACCTGTGGCGCCCACCTTTTATCAACTCTTGGGTGGTCAATCATCATGTTCATCCATGCAGCAAAGGCTTCAACCAACTGGCACGGGATTCAGCGGACTCACTGCAGATTGAATGTACAAGTGGCCTCCTGGCAGAACTCACCCTGAGCCAAAACAGCAGGAAAACGTGCGTTTGCCATTTGCCGGTGTTGTGCAACGTTTGCCAACTCGATTGGAAAGGGAACAAGTTGTTTGCCTCGACCCAGCCCCACGCTGCGTCATCATCAATGAACCACCATCTGGCCGGCGCAGTGTCTGCATAGCGTCTTTAAAGCCACGGTGTGGACTGCTTGCCTTCCGCTTGGTCGCTGTGGAACGATAAGAATGAATGGGCACGAAGCAAAGGACCCCCAATCCATCTTGAGAATGTCCCTGGCCTGGCTCAAGCAGCAAGCGAAGCAAGCAGTTTTTCATGTGTTCGGGTTTGTCGCAATTTTGGGCTTGTGTGTTTGGCGTTCATGCTCATATTGCACTGACGGCCTCGTGGCCAAGACCCGAAAAATAGAAAGCCACAGCCAGCGGCGCATCACCTGGGGCGCACAAGCCATCAGTTTTGGGCAATCCGTTACATTTGACCAAAAATAGGCTTTGGTTCAATCATTGTCTGTTTTCTTGGACCTTTAGCTCTTGTTTGTTTTGATCTTTCTTCCTTCGCTTTCTTTCTCATGTCATCTATTTGATGCTTTCCCTCTTTCTGTCTGCCTTGGGGGTTCATCTGTCAAGTCTATATAGCTGTTAGGTTACTTCCTAATCACAGTAGATTGACAAAATATTCAAATCCCTGAGTCAGAAACTGTCCAAACCCCTTACCCCGAAAGTTCAATATTCCTTCAATGTATGTTGTGTTTCGTCCACTCGCGCCAACACTCTGAGAGGCTCGCTAACATTGAACTTCGGGGTGAGAGGGGTCAAAGTAGCTCTAAGGGTTTGAATAATTGGTCCAGCTACAGTATTTAGAGGGTTAGATGTCCGCCTGCTCAGGAACACACCTGGACTGCGCTGCCCATTTGGCAAAACCAGCTGTGCCTGCTCATCTTTGAACCCTTGCGAACAAATTGCCTTTGCTGTTTCAACTGTGTTCCTTGCAAAGAACACTCGCACACCTGGAAATTTATTCGATGCTTGGTCACCTCGTCCTGCCATGATTGCAAGTCCTGCCGGAAGTCCAGCTCAACTTGAGGCACTCGTGCTGGTTTAGTTAACGAGTTGAACAACGTGGACTCCTTTGGAGATGACCAAAAGTCAGCCTGCCAGGATGGAATGATGTTCTGCCAAAAAAATCTAGGGCTCTCCGAACGGTTCACGGCTCTCCCCATCCCTCCGCGCTTGGGGCCCCTGACTATGTTCGCTTCATCCCTAGGTGAGCGACTTCTTTCCTGCCAGTTTGTCTTTGGAACGCTTTGTATTTTCTGTTTATTTACACATTCATTCATGAATAACAAAAGCTTCAATACTTGGCAAACCATCTTGCAAAGCCCGTCGAAGCCCACAAGGAAGACAAGAGTAGGACAAGAGAGGGGCACAGGATTGGCCAGCGCGGCCAGAGGACAAAAAACATAACAACTGCAAGCACCAGGAGGACAAGAGGGGAACCAAGATCTCTCCCTCTCTCGCTCTCTCGCGCTCTCTCTCTCATGGATAAATAGATAGACAGATAGATAGATAGTTTTTCAGTTTCCATCGCTCTCAAGTAGTCTCGAGACGGCGAGGGCTCGAAGGGAATTCACCTTCGGCTAGCTCAATTGGCCAGACATGCCGCACCGTGGTGCACTCACCATACATTAAAAAGCACCTTTGGACAAAAGCCACTATGGCATCCTCAGGGACAAACAAAAGAATACAGGCGGCAAATCATGGAGCTCTATCTTCTTAGAAGAGGGCTCATCAGGAAAAGCTCTTGAGATTGCTCTTGAAATCGGATTTGACAGACGGCTCACAGTCTTGGAAGTTAACCAAGGAGAAATCAGTCTTGTGCGTGAAGGAAGGACATGGTTCACAGCCACTGGCTGTGGAATCAAACACAACACCCAACAAGAAAAGATCCACAGCAGTGGAGAAGCTCAGGTCCTATATCTACATGCGGTGGAGGTCAGCAAGGCCCTCACGCTCTTCAGCCATGGATCTACCACTTTGGAAAAAGGATCCAGCCGATTGCCTCTGCAATCTGTTACCTTCGAGCCCCAATCGGATGTTCAGCTCGACACGGCACAAGTGGAAAATCTTCAAAGGCCGAGCAGAGAGAATGGAGCAGGCTTCACACCCTGTACAAGGAAGATTGGAGACTTCCTTGTGCTGCTGCAAAAACAGATCAACTTTCAAAATTTGGGCCATCTCAGGGTGCCTCAGGTTGACATGCCTTCGAAGAGCATCATGTGAGACAATGAGCTTTCCGCACAGGCAGCAATGCGAGCGCAGCTTGCTGAGTATTCCTCCGGGTGGCTTCCAAACGGAGTTCATGCTGCTGACCACAGTCCTTGGAAGAGTGTCAATGCCTAACATTCCAAATCGGCCAAGGCCAAGATCCGTGCAGTGCTCACGAGCCAGCCAGACAAAAATCCAGCTGTCAGTCAACGGAGGTTGTGCTCCAATCACTTGAGCTTCACGGAGGTCCTTGAACAGGAGCCAGCCTTGCGCTGAAAGTCCGCCCTGCTTCATCCTGTCCCTGATGAGCTACCGCAGCCACCACAATGAACGGCTGATGTACATATCCAAGCTCATTCTCAGACTGGAACGGGAGCCATACTCGTGCATTCACCTCAAGTTTCCAGTTGCGCTTCTCCAATTGACCTGAGTCAGACAGCTCATATCTATCAATGGGCAAACATGCAAGGCGGCCGCATGTGGTGAAAGTTGTCTGCATGCTGAGATAGTTGGTCCATCCATCAACAAGAGACTGCAGGTCAATTTCTTCAGTGCATGGTGCCGCGCTCAAAGTGGGAGGATTGCGTGGCGACCCATGATCAGTAGTGTTGATCATTTCCCCTTCCTGTACAAGCCTCTTCCATGAGCTATTCACACACATCGGTCTTGTCCATTCGAGGAATCGACCAAGAAATTCATGTAAATCCTGCTGCCCACATTTCCCATGGGCGGATGCACTCTCCAAAAACAGGCAGGTCCTTGACGCTGACCCACATGCTTTCCAAACTAAACAGTTCTGCAAAACGCTCAGCCCCATCTCCAAGGTCATTGGGGTGCTGAATTTGGGGCAGAGCCCAAAACAGAGCTGTCAGCGCAGCATTCTGGTAGCAGTCATTGCCATCATTGCTGAGCCTTACTGCCATGAGCCATCCCATCACGATCTCCTTCTCGATTGGCCAAAGGATCCCTTCGCCAAAGTGGCAGCGACTGGGTTCTCCTCAGTGAGCGCGGACGGGGCCTCCCCAAGATGAGGCTCCACGCTGATGAGGCCGTGAGGAGTTGAAGCACTTCGTACAGCCTTTGGTGTCGAAGGCTGATTTGCATCATCCATGGTAGGACTTTGATCTGGGAGTTCTCCTCGTCCGAAGTTTTCAATGATTTGAAGCGGACCACTGCCGCAGGGTCCCGGACAAGCTCCACCAGTTCTCGAGGATGCTCTGCATGCTGGTCATGGAGACTGGTCGTTTGCTCATGGGCTGAGCTTTGCGCTCCTTCGCATTCCATGCCAGGTAATTCCAGCAGCCACTTTCGGTAATGACCTGATGGCGAAGGGCCTCCTGCCAGATCTCCGTCGTGGGAGTGGATTGCACCACCTTCAACATGCGTTCCAGAAAAAGTATAGGTGATCATGGTGATGAGCTTTTGGCGAAGAGATTGGTTGGCACTCTGCTGTTCGACTTCCCTCTTCCATTCGGAGGTGCTCTGCTGGATGCACGGGAGGATGCTCGATGTTCCCGGTTGAAGGAGGAGGATGAAGGTATCCTGCACTGCTAGAGCCTGGAGCTGGCTCTCGTGTCGAAGGGCCAGTGTGGCCAGTGCGTGCGTCATCTTTGGAAGTTGGTCTGAGGTACCTTTTGATGCCGCGTCGGTCTCGCGCTTGGGTCTCATTGAGGGCATTGGGCTTTGGACTCTCGAGCAGGGTCCCGAACGTGTCTGTCAGCTGTCCCATCAGATCGTCTGGCGTCATCTCGAAGTGAGGCATGGCGCACGAGGTGAGCAGCCAAGTTCACTGTCAATGGGCACTGATCTACCACTGCTGTTGATTTCTGCAGCAGAAAGGAGTCGGACTCATGCATTGAGGTACAAAATCTGTGACGGGTTGGGATGGTGCTCATATAGATGATCAACCATGTCCATAGGAGTGCACAAACTGTGACACAAGCTGCAGTGGTCACTGAGCCATGCACACCATCCAGCATCGTTCCAATGAGGCGTGGCCTGGAGGTGCACAGATTTGTCTTCAGTTGCGTCAGCCACATCAGATTCCGGATTCACCGCCAAATGCAGGATAGCCAGTTGTGTAAAGACCATACACTTGTGTCCCTTTTTCGTGGAATAATTACCACACAGCCAGGGCTTACCACTGGCTACAGCAGTGTTCTGATATCTGCATTCCAAGGCCTGGGCACGGTGCACAATGCCTGCATGATCTTGAGCAAGACGCTGGGCAATACCACCAGGTCGACGAGATTGCCTTCCACACAATACACATGAAGATCGAAGTGCAGCTTGATACACTGTATCGCTGATGATACTATCGGTGTCATGGTCCAATGCCAGCTTCCGTAAATTGGGCCATAAGCACGGTACATGCCCCCCTGGTGGACGATTGGGGTTGAAGTGCTTGCAACCATGCTCAATGTGATTGCGGAGACTGAAAAAAGAGGCCAACGGTTTCATACAGTGACTGCATGTTGGCGTTCCATCAGCAGAGTCTCGAGCTGGGTGAAAATCGTTTGAGCCAGATTCAGGTCCACTGAGCCTTCGTCTCTTCAGGGAGTCTGGCAGTGGATGTTCTGGATCTGGCTTGGGTGGTGCCAGACACTTGACTTGTTCGTCAAGCAAGTCCTTGGACCACTTGTCCTGCTCACACATCAGGAGAACTATTGCCATCTGTCGTAGGGCGTGGCAACTGCAACCCATGCAGCCTTGTCAATTCCGCAGGCCAAGCAGGCCTTGGTGTTGTTGATCTGAATCACAATTTCAGACATCTTGGTCATGGGTTCTTCCCACATAGAGTAGTGGCATCTGGCCAGGTGCCGCAAGACATCTTTCCCCGTTTGGAAGGCTCTGGCACAAATGACACAATGCTGTCTGATCCAGTTCATGAGGTCAGGACGCTCAAACAAGGCATCCCACGATTGAGTTCGCACATAGCGCCGGAGGTCCTCATTGTCACATGGGGGTACCTGGAGAGCTCGGTGCACATTGAAGTTGGGACAACTGTCAAATTCAATATGATGTATAAGTCCAACCCATTGAGCAAACTTACCAAGACAATGCGCACATTGCGGTTTGCCAAGGTAGGCATCTCTCAAGTTGACAAATTGTTGAAATAGCGGTAGTGCTTTATGACGTTTGGCAAGATGTCGATGATACAAAGCCAAGGTCTCAAAGGTCTGTTCACAATATGGACAGCCATGAATGGTGGGCACACAAGTAGGACCGTCAGGTTCATCAGCAGTCAGGTTCATCAGCAGGAGGTGGATCCTGAAAGACTTGCATTACCCTCTGTTCGATTCTGTCAATGGGAATACGGTGCATGAAGTCCCAGTCTGGAAGGCCTCCGCAGGTGGATCTGAACTTGTTGAAGGCTTGCTCCCATCTGTCCTGAAAAAAAGCTCGAGGTGGTTTGAGATGAAGGCGAGAGAGCAAGTGTCCAGTGGTCTCATGAGTAACATATTTAACCCGCTCGACGTCAGAATGAATACGGTTTTGCAAAGCTGTTGAAGTCCCTCCTTGCGGACTCCACTGCATCCATGGCCACACGCGTAGCTGGACAAGACACAGGTTGCCCACAGCTTAGCGCGATCACAACTAGTCAGAACATGCTTGCCAGTGAACCAAGGTCTCATACGCATGCATGTGATCTTGCCTATTTGAAGCCTGTGTCTAAGTGTGAGCTGCTCAAAGTGGGTAAAGGAGAGTTGGGCGCCTAAATACGTGTGACGCGAAACGAGCTTGATCAAAGTGTGTCCTTTCAACCGTGGAACAACAAGCCAACGTTGACCGTCTTGCCATTTGGTGAGATGTTTAATGCAAGTTTTCATGCCCTTCCCTTCAACCCGGAGCAAAACTGCCGTCTTGTCAAAGGAAATCACCAGCCCAGCTTGCTCTTCAAAAATAATACCAATCTGACCAATTGCTTGTTTCAGCTCTTGTTCATTGCAAATCCACCATTTGCTCAGTATGTCATCCGCGTAGGTGATCAAGTGTGAACATACCCACTCAAAAGCGTCTTTTGAGAGCTGTGGGAGCAGATTTGCACGCCAATCAAATGGCATACATGTACAAGGAACGCTGTCCACTCAAGCGGGGATGCCTTGCACCCCTGTCTAACACCTCTGGGCGTTCTCAAAGCACAGGTCAGGCCACGATGCCGGAGGTGGTATCGAGCCTCAAACAGCCAGTGCAAAAGAACCGTTTGAAGTGAGGATGGACATCCACAAAACTCCAATCCATCAGCCAGCAATTGACGTGGCATTCTGTCGTATAGGCTTGTTCAAGTCCATGGACAAGATGAGGCCTCCACCGCACTGATGAGCTTGTCCAGCCACTTTCCAAGGACCAGGTTTCAGAGCTTGACAGAATTCACGTACTTCATGACAGAATTGATTGAGCCAGAAACAGAGCCTCTTGTACTCCTCTACCCGGAACA